AAGAAGGGAGAGGGATAGAGAGTCAGAAACATCCATGAGAGAGAAACATCGATCAGCTGCCTCCTGCACGCCCCCTACTGGGGATGTGCCAGCAACCAAGGTACATGCCCTTGACTGGAATAGAACCTGGGACCCTTCAGTCTGCAGGCTGATGCTCCATCCACAGAGCCAAACCGGTCAGAGCTTATCCTGATTTTTTAAAATGAAAATGAAAAAAAGTTTCAAAGAGAAGAAGCCCTCAAGGTAGTCTAATATTTCAATTCCTACACTCCTGCTTCTCCCCAAAAGCCAGGCTGGCTTCCACTACAGAGCAGGCTCAGAGGGCACTGGCATGCAGTTGTTCAGGAGATAGTTACCCAAAAGGATGCTTATTGGCTGACTCATTAGCCACCTTAAAAATGCATCTGTTCTTTCACTTAACAACAATGCCATTTTTTAAAAAGAAGGTATGAAGAAAAATAATAAAGAGAAATTAAAATTCCCATATTTTGTATATGTTCTTTTAATTTAGTGAAGTTAAATGACGGTTTTTTGCTGTTTTCCCTTTCTTACCATTTCCTACCATGTAACAGTAAGACAGAAATGAAGGCAAAAAAATTCTTTTTATATTTTTATGCTACTAGAAACTTGAAACATGTCTTCCTTTTACTCTCAAGCATACCCAAGTCAGAGCTGGTACTAAATTTTACTCCTTTCAAAGCCTGACATTTAATGCAAAGGTAGCTTTTCCCCTCTCAAGGTAATTGTTGTGAGACCCTGCCATTTGGCATTAGAAACATACTTCAAGGCTTTTACAAAGTAAAAATTTACAAAAGAGAAATTTTATATACCCATTTGGAAAGCAAAAGAGTTAACTTTAAAAAAAAATGATACATTTGAATGTGTTAGTTCCTACTGTGTTTCATTGAATGAACACAAACAAGATATGAAAATCAATTCACCAAATATCCTCAAAACCCTATGTGTTCATGAAGAATTGCCACAGCACCTAGAAAACAATTTTCTGTTCATTATTGTTATAAAAATGATGAAATTGACATTGAAAAGTATTATACATTCCTGCCTTTTTTTTTTTCTGTCCTGGGCTGTGCCAGGGTCTGTCTTCTGAAGCTTTCATTAGAAGTGTCCCAATTAAAAAGCTGTGTGAGTTTAAAAAAAAAAAAAGTGGCTTCCATTCACAAGGATTTTAAATAAGAAGTAAATTTGGTAAATCAGTTCCTCCCTGGCTCCTAGCCATTCACATCTTTTGGTTCTGAAATCCATTTCAGTGTGAGCATAAGGTGGTTGTTATGAGGTGTTGTCAGGCCTCTCGCAGTGTTATTGTGCATGGCGGAAGGTGGTAGTTTTTGATCAATGTCTTCAAAGTCAAAGCTTGGAACATAATAGCTGCACATCAAAACCCAGGACCATAATGCAGTTAGCACCAACTCTTTCAGGTGGCCCCAGGGAATTACTTCATGCTCATGGTGAGCGTTCCTATAATTAGTCATTTATAATGCTGTAGTAAGGGGAATGTGCAGACTTATAACTTGAGATTCATTATCAAAAGCGGTTCAGCAAAATCGTTACCAGAAAATAAATAATAAAGAAGCCTACCTATTTATTGATGTTCTTCTCCCTTTTTTATTCTGAATCCCTGATTTATTGCATTTCTGTTCTGAAGACATCTCTTATTGACCCAATATCTTTACAAGAATGCCTATGTTTTTAGGCATTTTTAGGCCATTGATGCAATTATTTCATGAAATCTTGCCTAGTAGATTCAGTTACTAATGATAAAGCTTTTTTGTTGTACCTTCTTCTATATTCACATTACTTTTCCAAAAAGTCTTCACATGTACAATTGCTTTAAAATGATGGAGGGTTTTATTGTTACTTTTTTTTCCTTCTAGAAGTTATTAACATTTAAGAAGAAAAGGCAATTTTGTTCATATATCCAAATAAGAGCAAATATTATATAATAGTATATACATATATATACTGTATGCTTTGTTAAAGAAACTATAGAATCCCAGGTGGAAAACACACAATAAAAAGTCAAATAAATCCATAGTTAAGAGGTAAATGCACCATATGTTTCTCTAATACTGAGGCACAATGGGGTGCATCGAGAAACTCATTAAGTCAATGGAAATAGCAGCTGGGCCCTATCAAGATGTCTATTCATTTCACTTCTGAAACAGAAAAACAGAAAAATAGTGGACACATTCCGTTTCTTCTGAGGTTTGAATTTATCATATTAGCATGGGGTTGGTGCAATGCAAAATGCCAATATATCTTCCCTCTCAGCATCTAATTTGATCAACTTTTAAATAGTTTTTTTCTTTGTTTTTCCCTGTAAAGATGATGTCCATCTCCCCGTACCCTTTAAATTTCTCTCATAAAAAAATTAAAGCTTTGCCAAAGCACCTAAATAGCCAAGTAGAGTCATGCAACAGACCAACTGAGCCAGATAAATGACTTGAGCAGTAAATGAAGTCATAATACGTCTGTTTTGATTTTATGGACTTCAGAATGAAGTATATTTCATTATATAAATTGCTCCCACTAAAATTTTGTGTGATTTTGATAAAGGCTTCAGTTTTCAAGGCATTAGTTTTCTCCTCCATAAATGTAGTTTTCAATACTTTTTTGTCAGTCAGTTTAAGAATCTGATGAAATTTATGAGTATCTGAAGACATGCACATATAAAAAAAATTACATAGCATTTCTAGACCATTTTAGTTTGAGAGCAAGAACAGATTCCTAAAGTCCCTTCCTAGTTTAAAATTCCATGGTTCTATGCTAATTTCAATACAAGTCTTCCTGATTCATAAAGCACATTTGCAACACTGAGACCAAGTGTCTAAAGTCTCTAAAAATCTACTATGGAAGGAATTCAATTCAGAATTATGGAATCTTAAGAATTCAAAATGACCTTAGCATTGATCAGTTTTATATTGCTAGATTCAACGTTATGGTATCTATATTCACGTTTTAACAAAACAATGCTCTGAAACAGAATGAAAAATTAAGCCTGAAAAAGGAACACCTCTAGCCATTTGGTTTAATAATAATACTTCATATTCTTGAATTTGTTTTCTCCTTATATGATCTTCAAAATTCTCACTTAGTTGAGAAATGTTTAACAGCTAAGGGGACAAAACAAATATATTTTCCCTACTTGGTAATCACCACACTGCAAATTTTAAACTCCTTGGGGATCACTGAAGTTTTCATGCATCAATGATGAATTCAGAAGCACAAGGCTTAAATTTTAAAGGAAAAATTCACATGATCATCAGTAACGGCTCTGATCATTTGAACTCCTGAAACAGGTGAAGTGAGGTCCCAAGTCTTTCAAAATTCCAAGCTTCTCAGGGATTCCCTCTTAATGGTTTTTGTATCTGCAGAATGTTTTAAAAATCAATTGAGTGATATGAATTTTTAAACATTACTTACCCCAAAATTATGTAATCTAGTGTATTTTAAAATATATGTCCAATTCATTTTAGCTGATGAAAGTGTCTACCTGTTCCAATGTTTGCTCTTCTCTTCAGTGAACGGAGAGTTTATCAGGCTCAACACACTGTTCAGATAAACAGGCATGTCTTCATGTCAGTCGTTGCTGAGCCTGTCATATTCTCAGCTGAGCTATCGACATTTGAAATTTGGTTTATTTGTGGAAAGCAGGAGGAGAGATTCTGATAGAAAAAAAAAGTAGGTGTCCCCTCTGTTTGCTATCTCTTTAGTCTCGACATTTGAAATTTGGTTTATTTGTGGAAAGCAGGAGAGATTCTGATAGGGAAAAAAAGCAGGTGTCCCCTCTGTTTGCTATCTCTTTTGTCCCTTACTCTTGACTGATCCCTTGTCATAAGCCACCAACATGCTCTAGTATCTGTTCTCTTTCAAGGCTTTCCTTCAACCCTGATATACCATTCCTTCTTATCTCTCTGCTTCTCAGACAAATCCCAACAAGAGTTGTGTACTCGGTCTCCACATCGAAGAGGTTTCTATTCCCTCTGTCTACCTACAACACTTAGTAAGGTCACCGATGATTCCATGTATCAGAAAAAAAAAAGAATCAAACCATACTGATGCTGAAAAGGCACACTTGCTAGTTCAGCGCTTAGGTACTAGAAAGATGTTCCTACTTCATGTCTCTTGTTTCTTGGCCATCTGATCCCAAATATAAAAATAATCTTCCTCAAAGTTTCCAAATAAAACTCCTCAGAATGCATGGAGGTTTCAACTAAGTGGGAGAATAGCAGAATAATGCTGTGTACCTGCTTTATAGCAATTAAATTCAATTCACATAAAATTCCATAGGAATAATAATAATACCAAAATAAAACTAATATCAGCAGTCTCTTCAACTATTGCTATTGGGTAAATATACTTCCAGCGATTTCAGCTTAACATCTAATTTTGCAATTACTTAGTTTCAAAATGATTTACATTTGACCTGGGAAAGTTCAAATGAAATCTGGCTGCCTAAATATATTAACTTACATTTATATATTTTCCTCATAATGCCAAATACATCTGTCAAAAAATTTAGTAGCTATTAATGTAACATTTTATTTTACTTTATTTGAAACTGATACATAATTTCTGAAAAGCTGAAGATCACATTCTCTTGCTCACTGTTCTAAACTCTTATTAACCTCAGAGTAAAACTATCTTTAGTCTACAGTCTCAGAGCACTCAAAGTAGATGCAACAAAAAGTAATATCAATAAACACAAAAATACAAGAATGTATTCTTCAGTAATTAAAGATAAGACATAGAAGCAGAGTAACTCAATTAATTAAAGGTTAGTTTGTATAAAATAATATTGATGGTTGTCTCTCAAGGTGCTCAGACCATTAATATAATTTTTAAAAAATAACATTTACCAACTTGTTTTTAGTAGTCATTATAATCCCACATTCCAATAACCATGACAAAATGTAGGAATTTTATGATAAAGAATCTTTCTTTTTTCAGCATATGTAAGCTTTTCAGGATAATCCCTTTACCTCTGAAAGGTCAAAGACAACCATGACTATTTTAGCAAGTGAAGATGAATAAATACTCAGATGAGAAGCATGGTTATCAACTGAGAATAAAGTCAGAAAGACCAAGTTCAAACCTGATTCTATCAAACACCAATAGCACTTGTAAAGTTTACAACCCAAGGGCACAGTCTCACTAAGTTGCAGCCTATGTCCTCCCCATGTAAAAATGAGGACTGTGGATAGATATTAAGTGAGATAATATATGTCAAATTACCTAGAGAAGTGCCTGGCACATACAGGCGTTCAGAAAATATGGGTTGGCTTAATTATGTAAACAGTGCCAGTCATGCTATCCCCTCTGCAAAACTTTTCAAAACACTGGGAATTCTTTGCCATATTCCCTGAGGCTGAAAGTCTGGTAAAATTAGAAATAGCAGCATCAGAGAAAAGTATTAAGTGTGAATAATGTCCATTTAATTGTGCGTACTTTCAGAGATTTTTACTTTCCATTCTGGCACGTAAGGAGGAGAGAAGTCATCATGCTTTCCTAACAAATAAAAAGCTGAACAAACTGAAAACTCAACAACTCCTTTTGAATCCCTTAGAGAAGTGAGACCATAGGACAAACTGCTACCCCCCAAATTAGAGAAAGACAGGTGGATACAGAGAATTACAAATCCCTGGATGGATCAGAACCCCAGGAGCAGAAAGTTCCCTGGGAACCAGTACAGGATAGAAAAACCTGAACTCTAATTGAGGAATTCCTGGAGGCTCTACAGGGGCAAGTCTGAGAGTTAAAGACCAGAAGAGCCCAACGCTTCTGTGAGTTTCACCAGCAAGGGCTCTACCAGTGAATATCAGAAAATATCACAGTGAGTATCGGAGAGAAATCCCCTCCTGCTTCCCGCAAGGGAAAGGGAAAAGCAACCATTTTGAAATACATCAAAACATTCTGTCTTTCTTAACAAAGCCAGCCCTTAAGAGAAACTTCTCTCAGAACTTACGTTATTGGGGCAATATCAGAGCTTAACCAATTTGGGGAAAGGAAAATATCTAACTCCAGCCCGCACTGGCCATCCTGCCCAACCGGAAGGGGAAGGATGGTAAGAGAAGCACTTGTAAAGTTCACAACCCGGGGGCACAGGCTCACGAAAAGGCTAAGACCTAGTCATAGGACTATAAAACGTTTCCCCTTCTCCCACCCATTACCACCAAATTACTCAAGACCTATTTACCATGGCTCCTTTCATCAACATCATGTCTGGTTTTCAACAAAAAAATCACAAGGCATATTAAAAGGCAAAACAAACCAGGAAAACAAATAGCAAGCATCAGAACCAGAGGAAGATGAGGCAGGGATGTGGACTATTCAGACCAGGAATCCAAAACAATTATGATGAATATGCTAGGAATTCTAGTGGGAAAAGTAGACAGTGTGCAAGAACAGATGGGAAACATAAGCAGGGAGAGTAATCAGAGAGATGGAAATTCTAAGAAATAATTTTGAAGAAACAACAAATGCTAGAGGCCAAAGCTACTGTCACAGAAATGAAGAACGCCGTTAGTGGGCTCCTTCGTAGACGGGACATACTGAGGAAAGAATCTCTGAGCTTGAGGATATGCCAATGTGAACTGCAAAGCAAAGAAGGGGGGAAAGGGCTGATAAACAGGAACAAAATAGCCAAGAGTTGTAGGATGACTACAAAAGAAGTAACATATGTGTAATAAAAGTATCAGAAGAAAAGAAGAGAGAAAGGAACAGAAGAAACATTTGAAGCCACAATGACTAAGAATTTTCCAAAGCACAGAGACCAGAGGTTTAGAAAACACCAAGCAGAACAAGTGCAGGAAAAAAAAAAAAGAAAACAACAACACCAAAAACTAAACCTAGGTAATACATGTAAACTGCAAAAAGTCAAAAGTTGAGAACAAAATCTTGACAAAAGCCCAAGGAAAAAGATAGCTTATACATACAGAGGAACAAAGAATTATATCAAATTCTCAGAAACCATGCAAGCAAGAAGAGAATCAAGTATTAAAAGTAATAGTATTTTTTTAAAAATCCAACCTAGAATTCTGTATCCTGAAAAATTATCCTTCAAAAGGGGGAGAGAAATAGACTTTCCAAACAAATATCAAGGGATTTGTTACCAACAGATTGGCCTTCAAATAAATATTAAAAACTTTTCAAAAAGAAAAAGGGAAAATGATAAATCAGAAACTTAAATTTACATAAAGTAAGAAAAAGCATTAGAAAATGAATAAGTAAAGTTAAAATAAAAAACTTTTATTTTTACTTAATTGATCTAACAGGTAATATTTTGTTCAAAATAATAGACAGGTGGATACAGAGAACCAGTACAGGATAGAGTTCAGGTTTTTCTATCCTGTACTGGTTCCCAGGATAGCAATGTATTTGTTCATTATAGCTATGTACAAGTGAAATGAATGACACCGATGATACAGAAATGAGAGTTAGGAATTGGGAATACATATTTTGTTATTTTGAAGTACTTGCACTACCTGTGAAGTGGTATACCGCTATTTAAAAATGGCTTGAATTAAATGTAAATGCATATTGCAAACTATATGGCTATCAGTAAAAAAGGTATTTTTTAAAGTATAATGAATATGCTAAGGAGAGAAAATGGAATTATAAAATGCTTGATTAAAGCCACAAAAGGCAGAAATAGTGCAAGACAAAAATAGGAACTAAGAACAAGAAGAACAAGTAGAAAATAGTAACAGTTATGGTATATATTAATCCAATTATATCAATGCTTACTTTAAATGTCAATGGTGTAAATACAGAAATAAAATGACAGAAATTGTCAGAATGGATCCAAAAGTGAGACCCAACTATATGTTCTCTACCAGAAACCCACTTTAAATATAAAGACACATATAGACTAAAATTAAAGAGATGGGGAAACATATGCCATGTTAACACTAATCAAAAGAAAGCTAAAGTAGCTATAATAATAATTACCTTTATGATGAGTGTTCCTGCAGTGCCAATACAACTGTTTTATTTTTTATTTATGAGAGAGAGAGAGAGAGAGAGAGAGAGAGAGAGAGAGAGAGAGAGAAACCTCTACTTGTTCCACTAATTTATGCTTTCATTGGTTGCTTTTTGTATGTGTCCTAACTGGGGAACCCATAACCTTGGCCTATCTAACTAGCTGAGCTACCCAGCCAGGGCCCAATACAAATTGTTTTCAATACTTTAAAAGACTACTCAAACTTCTGGTTCCCTCATTGCTGGAGTAATAGGACAAGATTTACTCCACTTCTTGACATAAAGCAGACAAAGATACGTGAAACAAAGGAATTCAGTAACTGTACAATAGGAAGAACATCCAGAAGGTGCTAAAATAATTAGGACATGAATGTTTATTAGTATTGGGGTTAAAGAAAAACTATTTGTAAAAGGAGGGACATAGTCAAGTGACAAAATTTCAAGAAGTCAAGCAAATTAACTAAAATGTACTCGTTGATTTTAGCACATAAATAAATAAATAAGTAACTAAATAACATTCTTGAGAAATCAGGGATAAATTAGGCAAAACCCTATACCTATCTTTTACTTCTAGTTTCAACTCTGACCATAAATGCTACTATATCAGTAGGATAAAGGGAGGGAGGAAGAGAAGAGAGAAATAATCATCACTAAGATGTGGATACCTCGTTTAGGACCTCAGCGATGTGGTAACATTACATCCTTTTGAATGCAGTCTCCACCAGAAATTCAGGAGCAGCTAAATTCTGATTGGGCAGTCACATAATTTCATAACGTTACATCAAAAAAATGTTCTTACTTATGGACTGTTTCCCGCAATTTGGAGAAACTGTAAGCTCTTTCAAGGGTCTTCTCCATTTCATTGTTAGATTATTTGAATTATATGTCTTGATACATAGTATGTGCTCAGTGAATGTTTGTTGTGTAAATGAATAAATGTGTGAATGAAAGAATAAATTAAGTACAGTGGGGCCTTGACTTACGAGTGTCCCGACTAACGAGTTTTTCGAGATACGAGCCGTCTCTCAGCCGATTTTTTGCTTTGAGTTGCGAGCTAAAATTCGGGTTATGAGCCAGCTTCAGATACCCCACCGCTAGTTGGCGCAGCGAACGTCACAGTGAACGCCACAACATCAGCCCAGCATCACGTGTCTCACTCGTTCACTTTTTGATTTGACATACGAGTAATTTGAGTTACAAGCTCCATCATGCAACGAATTAAACTCGTAAGTCAAGGCCCCACTGTAGATATCATTTATATTAAAAATATTCACTACAATGTTCAGCTATGCTTTATCACTGGGACTTGGTAGATATGTTAATTTACTCATATATAATTATGTTTTAAAACATTCTTACAGCCCTAACCGGTTTGGCTCAGTGGATGGAGCGCCGGCCTGTGGACTGAATGGTCCCAGGTTCGATTCCAGTCAAGGGCATGTACCTTGGTTGCAGGCACATCCCCGGTAGGGGGTGTGCAGGAGGCAGCTGATCGATGTTTCTCTCTCATCAATGTTTCTAACTCTCTATCCCTCTCCCTTCCTCTCTGTGAAAGAAAGTCAATAAAATATATTTTTAAAAAATAAATAAAATAAATAGAACATTCTTACAAATCAGCAGTTTGATTTCATAAAAATACACTAGTATTTTATAAAAAAACATACCAATGTTTGTTTATAAAAAAAAAAACACTGATGTCTCTTGTAATATACCAATCACAAAAGATAATAGTTTCTCCTTTTTTCTTTAATAGAGCAATGTGACACTTCATTACCTTTGTATTTCAATATATATGACTCTGGTTTTGCTATGCCAGTCGCTATCACAGATTCCAGAGCACATGTCTCCTAGAACAAAGTAGAAGGTTGGAATGACCTGCCAAATTTATTGAAGCTACAAATATGATTGCTAAAATTTACCTTACAGAAACAATGTTAGAGCTTCTTAAAATTAAACCATACAATATTGAAATCCATGAAAGGAATTTAAAATAATAAATATAGTATTCACTCTGGGAGATGAGAAT